AACGACCGCGAATGAGATGGATTGATGATGTGGAAAAAGACCTACAGATTTTAAGGGTTAGAAGATGGAGGGAAGTTGCCAGGAATCGACAGGAGTAGAGACTTCTTTGTGAGCAGATCAAGATCTACAACGGATTGTCGTGGCACTTATGAAGATGAAATTTTTTTTATCCTGAATTATCACTTTAAAGTAGTAAACGTGGGTCAACAATACGAAATACACTCAATTAACGGGGATGAATAAAATCACAACCCAATTGTATTGACCCTGGGAGCAGTAGAAACATATCTACAAGAATGAACGGACAAGTTGGCCAAACTACAAATGAATATTAAGCGAAACTATCGGTGTAATAACAACAATAAACACAAAATAGGAACTTGAGGAATACCAAACCTAAAAACGCGATACAAAATGCTATCGAGGCCAATCACCAACCAGTTAATGGAAGATTCAGAGAAATCAGTAAAAAGGCTAAAATAACTAATAAAGAAAAAAACCGGGAAAGGAGAAGGGCTAAAAGAATAAGAAACCAAGAGGACAAAAGAATTGCTAACGAACTAAATAGGGAAGTCAAAAAATAATTAGAGTAACATCGCAACGAAAACTAAGACGACTATGTCAAGCAAATAAACCCAAATAAATTGGCGTTCTGGAAGCTAAAATACTAAAAACAAAAAAAATTCTAACCTTACATGGAGAAAATGGAATTGTGTACGTAGAAGAAGACAAAGCGGAAGTTATGAAAAACACATAGAAAAGAGGATGTAAAAAAATTATTATCCCGATGAAGATCTCGACTTCACAGAAGAAGTGAAAAGGAGCTACAGGGCAATAAAAAAATAAGGGGCAACATAGATATTACCCACACCTCCTCTGAAGAGCTCCACAGTTGATCAAGCGTACTACCGCCAAAAAAGCTCCAGAATCGGACCATATTACGAATAGAGCTCTGAAGAATATGCCAGCAAAAGAAATAGTATATTTAATCAACCACATCCTAAGGTTAAAACATTTTCCTGGAAATGGAAGGAAGCTCACGTATCTAATAATGATCACGATCTTACACCGTCATATGGTAGAAAGGCTTTTGATTTATATATATATATATATATATATATATATATATATATATATATATATATATATATATATAATAAGCAAAACAACATCAGCTGTACGTTAATTACTATTTATAACTGGGAATAAGCCACATTAAAGATAAAAATACATTTATTGACGTTTCAATTTCCAATTCGGAAATCGTTCTCAAAATACAAATAGTAAATTTACTATTTGTATTTTGAGAACGATTTCCGAATTGGAAATTGAAACGTCAATAAATGTATTTTTATCTTTAATGTGGCTTATTCCCAGTTATAAATAGTAATTAATTTACAATGCCACAAGAAAATAGCTTCAGAACAATCAGCTGTACGTATTTAAGGTTTTGTCATCGGCTATCTCTCATATAGCCGTACCTTTGAGAACCTTCAAAAACCTGCTGATTTTTTCAGCTTTTTTTTACTGGCATATAAGTAAAATTTCGGTTTGGACTGATGTGTCATCAAAAATGTATCGGATGCCTTTTGTTGATAAAAAATGTGAACTCTTTAGATTTGGCGACTGTGGTGTACTGAGAAAAATTATTAAGATTGTTGGATATACTGGAAAGAATAATTATTATTAAATATTATTTAAGAATGTACTGGGTCACGATTTTGTAATATCGAGTAAATAATTGTTTCATTATTTTAGTAAATATGAAGTATACTAAGGTGCTTGAGCCACGGGTGTTGAATAAGAAGCCCGTATGCGATAGCAAGAACACATTTTGATATTTGAAAAGGGCAGAATTAGAGATCAATATTAAGTGGGTGTCCGTAAAGTAAAGATGTGTTCCTTTATTCTCCCGTATCTACTTGACCTGCCACCGCCCTTACCAAACACGGCAATATTTAGTCTATCGAACCCCTGTTTAACTCTAATTCATGTTAAACCATTCCTACAGACATACGAATAAAAGAAAGTCGTCATTATATGGAGTGTAACGAAGATATGTATCAAATTAGGAGCTATAAGGATGAATTAAAGAAGATAAAAGGTATAGGACAGCAGATTGATGCTCTTTTATTAGCATTCTTCTTGACTGCCCCGTCCAAGATTCGGATAAGACACCACCTTTCGGATAAGATAATGGTCAACCTTTCGAACATTTTGTAACCAGTCTCACTATAGAATGTATATTACGAAGAGCTTTTGATAATATTAGTCAAATTATTCGTGCACACTTCCCAGAAACGTGTTAAATATATCGCTTAACTAAAAGTTATCGAGAAGCCGCAATAACAAAATAATTCTCCGAATCCGTGTTAAAATGTAGTAATTTGCTGCAATTTTGCAAGTCGCTAAATGTTTTATGATGACATATTTTCATTGTCAGTTGAATCTGAATTAATAAAGTAAATCAATTTTTTGTGTCTTATGATGTAATACTAACCTTAGTTTGGTAACTACTATCATTTAAGATATGATAAATTAACTCTTCATGTGTCCGAAAAGTAATTTGAGTATCCTCTGAATTATACTTTATTTCTGGATTCTTAGTTGTAAGTTCATTATTAAAAAAACTGAAATTAAGTGGAGTGTTTGTTATTCTATCTCTAGGGTGAGGAGGACCTGGAGGATGATTTGGTCCTGGCGGAGGTTTAAACTTAAACATCCAGAACTAAAAACCCAAAATATAATAATTAAAACAAGCTTATTTCACTTAAACGTGTGAACGTTATATCAGTATTAGACTACAAGCCCTTGGGACATTTCTAAGGAGTTATTTGACCCAGCATGAATCACATATAAATAAATACTACAATATGTAATAACAACTTTAGAAATTATGCCGTCAATTTTTATCGGTACAGGTGATTATAGTCAGAATCCAGAAATCTAGGCAGTAAATTCTTGGAAATAATAGTGATGGTTCATTGCTATTGTAGGTCTTCCAATGGCGTACGAAAAATATCATAATAAGTTACGACAAAGCTACTTGTATTAAATAAATATGGACCTATTTATAATTATGTTAATTTTAATATGATTATTGTTGACATTTGGGTTATTATATATATATATATGTATATATATATATATATATATATATATATATATATATTGGGACGAGAAATCAAAATTCGCCACTAAAAATTATGAAGGACGCCACATGCATCTTTCAGTGCTCGTTTAATACGTTCAATTTTTTCTCCAACTCGACATACTTTTAGAATCAAAACTTTTATTTTCTTAATATTTTTACTTAGAAAAGATATACTACATCGCTGTACAACCCATTACTTTTCATTATTGTTTTATAAATTTGAATTAATTACAATAAATAATAATTTTAGTTTAGAAGGTAATAGTTACACCTCCCTAAAACTGAGATAGTCGTTGAAAGTCGGCTACTCAGGTATTCAGTTGTTCTGCTATCGAAGTAAACAGTGGTGTAATGATGATGAGTAAAATACTATTTTGCTGACGTCACGTTGCCCAGCAACCGTCGATTCTATTCATCGTTGCTACGCAACGTGACGTCAGCAAAATAGTATTCTACTCATCGTGGCCCCACCGCAGGACATGACTCACATATCGATTAGATTATCTAAGCAGTGAACACGTATTTTACTGTTGTGAGTAATATGAAAAGTGAAAGCAGTAAAAGTAAACGACGTCCAAATTTTTCGATGGGAGAAAAAACCAATATATTCAATGTGTATTGTGGACTCCGTGAAAGGAATAAAAGTATGTCGGTCAACGATGTAGTTACCCTGTGTAGTGATTTGACTAAAGTTTCGACGAGAAGTGTATACAGAATTGTTAACAATTTTAAACAAAGTGGAGGCAAATTGAAGTATGGACCTGTTTAAACCATTGAAACCAGAGGTACAAAACGCATTCAGCTTGAAGATCATACCAAATATGCTATTGGGAGGAAATTCCATGCTTTCTTTTTTCGGAACGAAATCCCAACCTTAAAGAAAGTTGAAGTTAAAATAAATTCCGATAATTCAATACCCAAAATATCACGACGTGTTTTATTACAAACATTAGAACAAATGACATAATATGTATAATAAGAAGCAGGAATAGTGTTCTTTAAGAAAAAGATGAAATTGTTTTGTGGCAAAGAAATTGCTTACAAAAAATCCGAGAGTATCGTCGTGAAGGACTATTTAGATGAAACTTGGCTAAATCAAGGTCATACTATCTCAAAGGTGTGGCAAGATTTGAAAATTAAAAGTCGTCGACAAGCCTTCATTAAAGAGCTTTTATTAGGATTAAAAACACCAGTGGGTAAACAACGGAGGCTCATAATAACACATATAGGCAGCAATTCTGGTTTTTTGGACAACGGCTTGGTACTATTCGAATCCAAGAAAACCAACGATTACCATGAGGAAATGGGCGCTCAAAGATTCGAAGGTTGGTTTTAAAATGTTCTACCAAGCCTTGAAGCAAATTCTGTCGTTGTTATGGACAATATGTTATACCACAGTCGACGGTTGGAGCCATCATCAACGACTTCCTGGCGAAAAGGTGAAATAATCAACTGGCTCTCTCAAAAAATATACCATTCGATGGCAACATGTTGAAAGTATAATTATTAAACCTCGCGAGGATACATATACCCGTTTTCAAGAAATATGCAGTCGATGACATGGCTCGTGCAAACAACATAATTGTACATCGCTTCCCTCCTTATCATTGTGAGTTGAACCCTATCGAGCTTATATGGGCTCAAATAAAAACCAAGCGGCAAGGGAAAACTTGAGTTTTAAAATGGAGGAGGTGAAGTGCTTGTTAGCTACTGCCATACAAAATGTCACACCTGAGTCTTGGAAAAATTGTATAAGACACACTATAAAAGAAGAAGATAGAATGTGGGACTTAGACACAAGAGTAGACATTTCGGTTGAACCATTAATTATCAATGTAAATAATAGTGTTCGCGATAGCTCTTCATCAGCCGACGATTCGTCTTCATACGATGATTAATATCTTAACTTCCTGTGGAGGTCGAACCATTTTATTAGGATTACTTTCGTATGTAAGTAAGTTTATTTTGTTAACCTAATTTTCAAACTAAAATACATTTTGTACCAATATACTTTGCTCTTAAAAAAATGAATACTTCTTATATATATATATATATTAGGTATATTCGATTCGATTAATTTTATTTAATTATAATATATATGTGTGAGTGTTTATATGTTCACTAAAAGTAAAAGTTCACTTCATGTAATCGGCAAATTCAGAATTGGATTTTCCTAATTATGTAAATTAGTATATTTAAAATATAAGTAATTCCAATGAAAAGAAACCTTTCATTGCAATAACAGCAGGGTAAATCTCTCTGCCTGCCTTTTTGATAATTAATTTTTGTAACAAACAAAAAATATCATCAAAAAAATTATAGTTTGTCATTAAATGTCATAGAAAGTTTCTTTGTCTCGTATGTTTTGTACAAAATTATGGAATTTGAAAATAAGTTTTTTTTGTGATAAAAAGTATACACTTCAAAGTTAAATATAAGTCTCATATCATATTATATTAAGATCAATTTTTAAAAGTCACTGCAACAGTGTGAACGATACGCTACTGAATGCTAAGCTAGCAAGTCAATGAGCAATTTATCTCTATATTATGACAACGTTAATCTACTATTCCTTTCTACTGGTCCTAGAATGCGATGTTGTCATGTATGACTTTTACAAAGAATATTATCGTACTTTAGATGTTTTCTATATATAAGTATTGTATATAAATATAATATTATACATTGTCGACGACAACCCATTTTGTATTTGAACGGTCCGCCACTGCAGCCCAGCCAGCCAGCTAGTCGGTACAGACGACAGATGACAGAATGACATTCCATCACCAGCCGTTGAGAAGCATAGAAGTATTTGTTATTGTTTTCATATTTTTGTGCAAATTCATAAATAAATGCAGTATTTTAGACTATTAATTAATTTCAATAAATACAGTCCACTACAACAATAAACATTGGTCCATTCGACCCGATATTTGTGATAAAATCAGTGTTAAAAGTGATTTACAGTTATCGGTCAAGTGAAAGAACACGTGGGATTGCCGAACAATATACAGCCAAAAATACCGGTGAGTTCCCATCTGATTCCTATACCTATTTATACTGTTTTTGTTTGTGTAAGTTGCATAAAACTATTTACAATCTATATATCTATTTAAATTCAATTCGAATCTATTTGATTAATAAACAATGTCGGACGAACACTTAAAAAGATTAATTAGAAAACGTGCTGGTCATAAAGCTTCATTTACAATTTTCTCCAAATTTCTAGAGTCTATTAAATGCAAATTAGAATTACATGATGTTGAAAAAATCGAACTAAGCGACAGAATAAATAAACTAGAAAATACATTTTTAGAAATTAAAATTATCCAATCAGAAATAGAAGAATTGGCAGACGATCCCGAACCACACTTTGTGATAAGGGAAGAACTTGAAAACAATTTTTATTCACTATCGGCTAATGCCAAAGCATTGTTAAATAAATTCATTTCAGATATTGATGATAAACAGTCGGTGACAAACGAGCATACAAACAATAACACTTCTATTTCTGACGGGGCTTATCGTTTACAAGGTGTAAAACTGCCAACAATACAAATTCCAAAGTTCGACGGCACATACGAATTTTGGCTAGAATTTCGAGACACTTTTGAGTCACTCATTCATACAAATGATAGTATTACAAATATTCAGAAGTATCATTATCTTCGGGCATCATTACAAGGAAATGCCGCCGCAGTCATAAAACCTATCGAATTTTCCGCAAACGGGTACAATTTGGCATGGGACTCTGTATGTGATCGATACAATAATAAAAAACTCTTAATACACAATCATATTAAAGCTTTATTTTCATTGAAATCTATTCACAAAGAATCTTTTGTAAAATTTCGTAAATTAGTAGATGATTTTTCAAAACATTTAAAGTCACTTCAACAATTAAATCAGCCGTGTGAACAATGGGATGCCTTACTTATATTCATTATAACATCAAAACTAGACGAAACTACTATTAGGGAATGGGAAAAGCATATTGCTACTCAAACGGAACTACCAACTTTATCCGATCTAAAAGGATTTTTAAAATCAAGAGCAGATTTTCTAGAGGCAATTGAAATGAACATTGAAACAAAAAATAAAAGTAAGGAGAACAGGACGACTAGGGGATTCTTAGCAACAAAAACAAACTATACATGCGTCTCTTGTCAAGGCGACCATAGCATTTACACTTGCGAAACATTTTTAAATTATCCAATAAACGAAAGGTGGAATTTTATTAGATCAAAATCATTGTGTACAAACTGCTTGCGATCGGGTCACTCCAATAAACAGTGCAAACTCGGGCCATGTCGCAAGTGCAAAGCACGTCACAACTCACTTTTACACAATAATACAAATGATAGGAGCATCATTATAAGCCAAAATAATTCGGGCACGTTCAATAGAAATTCGAATATATCCAATAGCAGTATTAATACAAATCCATCACAAAGTACAAGTGAGCCAATAAATCCAGGAACAAGTAACAATACATTTTGTGGTAACAGCATGCTTTCTTGTTCTGATACAGGCTATGTTTTTCTCTCAACAGCAATCTTAAGTGTTAAAGATAT